AAAAAGAGAGGGATCTTGTCACCACACCTGGATAAAGACGAGGACTCCGCCCACAGAAACTCCAACAACAACAAAACAAACTGAGGATTAAGATGCCACAGTACTGCCCACTCTCTGCTGAAGAGCTGAGTGGAAAGAAAACCACAGCCAACAGCGGGTACCAGCACTGAATACAAGTTTAAAAGTGACAACTGCATTCGGTGTTTATTCTAAGTCCTGCTTTTTTTCCATTTGAGCTCATCACAGCTCACATAAAGGCGGCGAGATAAGGAGAGACGAGAAAATGGAAGAGAGATTCATGTGAAGCTGCTTCTTCTTCGAAGTCTCTGACTACTGATGATGACGAATTAATGAAATCACTGACAAACAGCAGCACAGCCGAGACGTAAAGACGGAGCGAGCCACGGTGGGAGAATTAATGAGTGAGGTGACAGCGAGGACGGGACGCCGAATGAGAATGAGGCGAGGAAGAGGAAAATGAAAGGAGGAAGAGCAAAGGCCAAAGAGGAAGGCAGACGGAGAGATAAAACACAAGGGAAGGGAAAATTAATAAAGGATGTGTAAGAGAGGGAATAAAGCGAGGGCAGAAGAGGGGGAGGAAAATGAGTTAATCGATGAAACAAAAGGCATAAAACCAGGGCTCTGAAGAGGAAAAAATATGAAGAGGAGCGAGAGGAGACAGGGTCAGGAGGAAAAAAAAAGAGTCTCTAAAAGGGAGATAGAGATGGAGACGGAGAAAAGGAAAAAGCAGATGTGACAGGTGAAAGGAAACGGGGAAGAAAACAGCATAAAGAATGAGGAAGAACAGAGTCAGAGGCCTCAGCCAGCCAGGCACTGCCCGCGGCGATGCCATTGTCTGAATATGTGTGTGTTTCTGCGCGCATGAGTGTGCATCTGAATACACGACGAGGATGGTATCTGCAGCGCCAGGAAACGTAGTTGGTGGAAGATTGCCCAGAATCCCCCTCCTCCTCCTGCTCCTCATCCCTCCCTCCGTCACTCCCCCTCCTCTCCCTCGCCTCCCCGTCTTTTATTACGTCCACATTTGGGAGGGTGTAATCCTGTTTAGGTAAGCTGACAACAAAGCCCGTTGTTATGACATCTGAAGAAGAGACGTCTATTTACGCCGGGCGAGGACGTCTTCATTTTGTCGAGTATTGTCTGGACCACATATGGTCTGGAGGATCATCTTAAAGCTCTGACTATTTATCCTGTCTCAGTTTATCACCATACCTGGTACGCTCTCCAGCTTTAGAGCATCTGAAGTCGTCGTAACCTGACCACCACATCCACTCTTGACCTCAATAGTTTATATAGAGATGATTTTCTACATAAAAGTTGACCTGCAGCCAATCAAATTCTCTCTTTTGTTGTATTTAACGTAATAAAACAACAAAATTAAGTCGTGCAAATGTCATCTCTTAAAGTTGTGGTTGAGGATGTGAGAAGCAGTTGAAAAAAACTGAGCCGCTGAGGCAGATTTAAAAAAGCGTCCCACCCCCCACACACAAACCTCTCCCCTCTGTGCTCCACAATAACTCCCCCCTTAACATGTATCACCCTCCCCAGGACACACCCCCTCTGACAGAGCAAGAAGCCGACCGACAGAAGATCCTACGCTAGCTTTAAATAGGATTCCCCATGTCGCATTTCTAGTGACTAGCGGTAGAAAACGTCAGCTCTGCTAGCGAGCGCCATCTGCAGCTGCCTGGACAGCGACTGTGTTGACATTGCAGAGACTATTAAGAGTTATTTATGTAACATGTGCCACGATAAAAGGCGATAAAAATGACCTGTTCAACAAAAACTCGGCTGTCTCGGCGTCTGTTTTCAGGACCAAATCCTGACCCGATGTTTATTCGAGTTAGATTCCTCACTTAGTCACAGTTCGTCTCCGCCCTTTCTTCTGTCGGCTTGCGTTTTCTTCCCACTTGTAGCTAAGCTGCTACGCTACTTTTAGCCGCTCCGAGCTCCCAGGAGGGCCGGGAGAGTGGGAGGGGACAAGCCGGAACTACGGGCGAGGGGCGTGTAGAATACAGCGAGGTGATTGGATGGAGAGGCAGAGCAGGAGATTGACCAATTGGAGCTGTCCGGGATGGATGGTTCCCATCACACTATAGGACCATGATCGCCATATAAACAAGGTTCATAATAATTACTGATCTCTCCAATTGTCAACCCTGCCTTTAAAGGGGAAGTGTTGATTTTTCTTCTATATCCTTACATGTCCTGTTCAATACTTGTTTTTGTTTTATTTTGAAAAGCCGCAGCTGAATCCCACAGTAGATTTGTCGCACGTAACAAACAATTACGGATTTGATAATTGACCAAATGGATGAATTAAGTCAATTTACATTGTGCTTTCTGAAGATGAGTCATCCCTGAGACAAATTACACATGCACTCAGCAGGAGTGTTGTCAAAATAAAAGCTAATAGCACTAATTTTTCATAACTAAGTGCATATTAAAAAGCCTTTTACTGACAGTGTGGGCTAAAAGGCTCAAGAAGGCTGGTTCCTCTTTTTTTCAGACTCCATCCTCTGCATCCTGGTGAGTTCAATGGTCGATTACAGGAGCTTTGACCGACAGTATCTCGATTTGAGTACATAGATTTAATAGGAGCATCTGTGTTAGCGAGAAAGGGCAGCTTTGGTGGGATGATACAGAAAAGTTCAGACAGTAATAGATCTGTGAGTTTAAGAGCTTATCAGATGCAAACACGGCTCTGACTCTTGTAATGTAATGAGGGAGGATTTCGCTGCTGCTGGGAGACATCGCAGCAGGAATCATCTCTACTTTTATCTGCCAAGGTAAACAGAAGATACACGAGGTTTGACAGGCTGACGGGCTCCATTAAGAGACTAGACGAGTCGAGTAAACGTGCTTTTTTACCGTTCGCCTCCATGAGGTTCTCGTTTCTGCGCATGCCGACAGAAATCTGGGGTTCATTTCTTTAACAGGTGCTTTCATTTCTCGACATTACAAAGAAAATCATGTTCAACATGCACATGAATTTAACTTTTCTGACTTTTACCTCTCCCTGCGGGCCGACTACATATGTTCCTGAACTGCACACATACCATAGTCGGTATTTCTAATCCTCCTCATGCTGCCTCAGTTACAGGCCAAACTGTGACTCAGCGGCTTTAAAGTCTGAAACAAACTGGACTCCAACCAAGTGTGAAATGACTTATCACGTATTTAACGACCAACTCTTGTAGACCGCATTCGCCTCTGATTATAATTCTGCTCTTGGCTGGCTCAGACTACAATATCATATTCAGACATGTTCAAAATTATGTTTAACCAGCTGATTTTTATCTGGGTTTAGGTGCCGCGTCAGAGCTTTTCGTGTCGAAACACAGGATGATGTGTGCTCAGCTTTTCGCCAACGCGGCCGCAGTTAAGAAGACCGTCATTCAGACAAAATCTCTGTAGCAAAATATTGACCTTGGGCGCTGAAACTCTCACAGGGCTGCTTAATATGCAGACAGGAGAACCCTCGAAACTGATTGTGCACAACATCAAACAGAGCAGCAGCATTATCACAGCGTCTACTTTCTAATCTATTCAGTTTGCCACAAAGTATGCGACACAATAACTCCATATGTCCTTTTTTTTAACGAGGCAAAGGGCTAATTAAGGTCGAGACTTCTTCACAGGAGCAACATCGTCACCGTTCTTACAGAATTACTAAAGATGCAAACTGATAAATACACTTCAAACTGAACTGAGACCATTTTATTCAAAATCAGACATTAGATTAACTCCTTAAAGGGATAGTTAGACACCCCCTTGAAAGATGAATGTTGTCGACCACTTGCTTCTCTAGTTATGCAAACTTTAGTCATGATAGCAATACAGAGAGCCACGCGCTCAGCCAAAACGCCACTCTATAGCCACAAATAATGCTCAGAACAGCACCTAACTTCATCAACAGGACATATAGGGTCACAGCCATAGTACTAGACACCAAACATCTTTTTAACTTTGGCTAACTTCTTTAGCAAAGAGACTAAACACAACTCACCTACTCTCTTCCAGCGGGCGCTTGTTTGTGGGGGAGCCCTGACAAGTCGATTACTGAGTTCAGCGGAGTTTCGCAGCTCAAGGAAGAACATTTATGATCATTTCTTCATGGATATGCAATCAGACCGAGACACTAAGGCAGAAGATCTACCGTGTCTGCAGTGAAAAATGATTAATATGGTGATTATTACTTCAAGAAAATGATCCACTCTTGGCAATCGGTGATCGACTCTTGGCTTTTTGAGGTTTGCACGTGGAGACATAGACCGCTGTTTGACCCTAACTTAGATTTATGCCGGAATATCCCTTTAAAGTGATCAGTTCAGGGTCATTTAGTCTATTATTTAACGAAGATGAGGCTGTGGGTGTTTTAAACCGTTTTTAACTACATTCAATGTACAGCAACGTAAAAAATAAAAAATACAGTTTTCCATAATCTGACATTCAAAGAGTGTAAAGAGAGATAAATTTAAGATGTAAGCATTATGAAAACATTCAGATTTGATGTTTTTACACTGGTGAGAATTTTCCAAATTCAGCATGTGTGAACACAAACGGGCGAATCTTTGGACGCAAGTTAGTAAACTGAATTTTTCTTGGAATATGAAGCACACTTTAATGACACTGACTGTTCTTCTGATAATGACATCCTTAACAAACAAAACAAAAAAATACTTTTTTTTCGGACTAATAAGCACTCAGAAGACGTTTCCTGCCTCTGAGTCACAGTTTCAGATTACCGGTGCAGCAGTTTGGTATTTAATCAAACAATAACACTGAAATTCAACTTTAGAAAGTGGATTTAATTGCATGTAATTGATTCCCAAATCAAGACAACATGTAAAATAATAGAATTTTAAACCTGTTACTAAAATTGTGATTTGATATGAGAGTGTAAAAGCAGTATGGGTCTTATTTCATGTCCTTCCAGAAAGTTCCTGACATTTTCAGAGCTGCACATGTGAAACAAAGCTCTAAAAAAAGGTGACAGACGAGAAGAATTTAAACAAGACTCCTTTCACTTTCCTTTCACTGTGTCACTTCTCCTCGCTCGACTCGTTTCTCATTTCTCAGCCTGGAGAAGTTTCAACCAAAGTGACGTCGTACAGCACTTCATTGTTCTCCAGGATGCATGTTTGGATCCTGCCAATTATCACTCAACAAAAATCACAGCTCTGCGTTCACAGCAACACCAGCAATCGCCAAGCAGACAAAAAATAACCATGAAAAAGACTAATCTGCCATCCTACCGCGGCGCCAGTTCTTGGAAAGCTATTGTTGCCCTTGGCCTGAAAGTCTCGACACAAACTGGATCTCGAGCTTCACGGCTTTCTTCCTCTCCCCTTAACCACTTCACCCCCTCTACATCTTCCAGAGAGAGAGGCAGAAACAACCGTGTTACGTGTTGCTGCCAAGCTCACATCCGGCCATGACGAACACAGCTCGCCGACATGGATGGCGAGGCAGACAGGCGAAGTGAAGTACAGAGGAGGAAGGTGGAGAGATAAAGATGGAGGGCTGCAGCCGAGGGGGCCTCTGCGGGGCTGCGGGTGAGTGGAGGAGTTCACGGGGAGGAGGTGGAGGATGTGGAGGATGTGGAGGGGATGGGGTGAGCCTTTTTTCCTCCCTCCGTATCACTCCCCTCTGTCGCTTCTAAAACATGCACCGATGCTCTCCACGCGCAGCAGCAGCAATGTGCAGCTGCACGATAAAGCGGCCAGGCGGGGACGAACAAGCTGCGCACTCGAAAAGCAAACTCGCTCACACTCGCTGATAGATATCTGTTTATCTTTACACTGCGTTTCATTCTGCAAGCCACGACTCCCCCCTCTCTCCTCTACCTCCATCCTCTCTGCCGGCTCACTCTCTATTTTCCGTCCGCTCGTGTCTGCTTCCTCCCCGAACACACCAGAGATTTTAAACTCAGTCTTTTTACCCCTGATATCATCCCGAGTCCTGATATAGGGACTCAATCTGCGGCGTTTCCCTCCCTGTTTCCTCTCCTCTGACTTGTCGTGACTGCCGGGTTTTTTCTACCTAAAAAATGAGCATAAATAAAACATCAGCTCCTTTGCACAAACGCCTAAGAGCTCCGAACCCCCCTTAGTCATACTCTAATTACTATCATCTAGCATCCCCAGTGCCCACACACACACACTCCACAATCCACTTCACACACATAGGTGCCTGCCCTGGTTTTGACCTGCAGTGACCCCTATTTGTTTTCTGTCGCTGTCCCTGTTTTAAATCTTCAGACTCCCCCTCCCCGGACCAAATGTCAATAGAGTACTTCTTTAAAGTGTGAGGAGGGGCGCCCACGCCGAATCCCTCAACCACACAGCGACAGAGAAACGCCGCTCCATCACAACCCACGACTGACCTCGCTGATGAAGAGCCCGTTACGTCGAACCAAAGAGGCGAGCCGAGGTGAAGCCCGGGGATAAAGTGTTGGAAAAAAGGCGGCAGAGTGAGGTATGAAGTGCACCGTGTCAGACGGCATTTTTCACCGAGTGACACCCGAGTCCTCTCAGCTCGACTCGGGAGGGCCGAGGAAATTCTCCACCTTTGATGTAGAGCGCCGCAGAAGCAGCCTCCCCCACGCAGGCCTCCTCGCCGCTCGATGGGTCGTCTATCATTTCTTAAAAACTCTGAAAAAAAAACGTCACCCCGGAGCAGCCTGAGGTGAAGGAGCTGCAGCCAGGTGACATTTTTCAAGTGAAAGTTAGTGGACTTCAGCCCAGATCTATATTGAAAAAGTACAAATGGCCTCGAGTCTGGAATGAGGAATACGGTCTTAACAGGTCCGAATATTTCTACTGTAGAGTTTGAAGCTTCGAGTCGTTTCTCTACCAGTTGGAGTTTTGCTCATTTTGTTAATAGAGTGTCAGTTCTTTAAATTTACAGCCTTTTAATCCACAGAAAGCTAACAGTCAAGGATCGGAGCATCACCTCTCTGCACGTTAACGTCCACACATCTACACTGACTTTAGTCCGCTCCAATCGAGTCGTTTAATGCCAGCTTAACCACACACACACACACACACACACACACACACACACACACACACGTTAATATACGCTAGTTGCATTACAAGATAATGGCCCAAGCTCTGTTAGTGTGACAACGTTGATACTGCCAACGCTGCCATCTGGCCTCCAGTGGTGCCCAAACTCCAACCATGGAATCAGACGGGCGACGACCAGTTTCGTTAGCTTTGGCAAACTATGAGAGGGCTAATTGAAACAGGAGAAATAGAGAAAACCAAAGAATTAGTCTAAACAGGGTTTGACACTAACTTTTTATGTGATCCTAAGTTAACAAAGTAAGGAGCACACAAAGAACTTTAGGGACGCAATGAAAATTGATCAAATGATGTTTGTCTTATTGGTCGACATGAGTACTATTATTTGAAATCAATTTGAGGTCTTTTGGTCACATGACATGGAAGTTATTGAAGAAAATGTTTAAAACATTGTTGTGTTAAATTTAAAGGCAAATTTTGGAGGCCAAGTTAGGGACAAAGAGAGGCGTGTCTTATCGTCCAACCTGGAAGCTAGTGAAGGAAAACAGCCTTTTCTGAGAACATCAACTGGTAATTTATTGACGGTCCCTTATTCAACACCCAGTGAGGGTGTCGAGTAGATTTAACTGCGCTGCTGTTGCTATTCCCAGTTATGGAGAGTGAGAAGACACCGGTAGACCCGCAGTGAATGTCAGTCGAATATCCAACATTAAACTAACTTCACAAACATTTGTCGCCTCGGCTGTTTTGTTGCCCCTAAATATATTTTACAATTCACACTCATCTATTTTTGGTCGCAAATGCGAGTGAAACGGTCACACTGTCGAAGTCCTGCTACAGAGAGGACAGGGGAAGTAGGGCGAGGGTAAAGAGCCGGTCTGGGTTAGAGTTTAGTCCTACCAGGTTGGACGGTACGCTCTACCTGTCCTATACTCAAGAGGAAAAGAGAAGATAAAGAATGCCATCTTGGATTATGACGTCGACAAGTCGGGTTGGTGAGGATCATCCAACTCTCTGAGTCGGAAATCCAACTTCCTTCCGATTTCAGGTCGGAAATCACGACTTCTGAGTACAACTGGAACGCAGCAATAGCTCACTCCTGCCAGGTTGGACTTTTTTACTGCTTTAGGGCTGCAGCAGAGTCTGTTATCACCTGCAGGAGGTCGATTTTAAAGCTCAAATTCGATTTCTGATGATAAATGTTAATACAGTTATGTATATTGAGTAAAAAGTATTACAGTCCCGCTGATTCTGATCAAACTTTCCCAGTCTTAGCCTCAGCTCTAGTGGCCCTCGCTACCGTATGAATTAAATAAGCATGTTTGCTTCTGCAGAGAGGTCTGAGCGTTGTTACTGCTACATTTCTGCAAACACTAAAAATACCAGATCCACCTGAGACTCTGATGCCGCCTCGCTGAAAGCCACCAGTAAATAGGACTTAACAACAGCCTGGTGTCACATCTCATTATGCACCAAACTGTCACAGCGGGCGACATGATCACACTTTAAATTATGTGCGAGCGATGACAAAGGAGTGATGTGAATGTGGGGCAGTAATGACGGTTTTTGCTTCGAGAGAGCAAACTCCACCGACGTATTTTTTACTTTGAACAAACCGGCAAAGTTATTTTTTAAACAGCTTCTCGGGAACCGAACATATTTTTCCCAGAAAACTGCAGGAGGGATTTCCCAGACCGCGGAGCATGAAGCATGAAGCTATTTTGAATTTTCACACCACGAACACAGAGAAGACTTCATGCACACTGAGATTATTATTATGGTTTTTCTCCTGAGTCATGCTGCTTTCTAATTTCCCCTGAGGTTTCACAGAGAACATACCCCTACATCCACATGAGATCTCCTCTTTTCTGCACGCTGATACTAATGAGACATTATTTTTGTGTTCCATCGCAGTAACAGTTAGCTTCATCCCACAGTGTTACCAGTGACCAAAGCAGACACATTGTAAAGTGGTTCATCATCTTATGGCGACTCAGCACGAAGGGTAGGCCCCGCTGTTTCCACCGTGGCTCCGCTGAATTATTTAGGCTGATAATACGAGTGCATTAGCACATTAAAATCAACCTGAATTATTTCCCATCGAGGGCTAACAGATGCAGAGAGCACTAATGTTGCTTTCTGGTACGCTTTGCCCCGAGCTGTTGAGTTCTGGCCTCTCCAGCAGTAAAAAAAACCAAAGTGGTTTCAGATGGTTTAACATCCAACACGGGCTTGGACAGATTTAATGTGAATTTTAAGAGATAGAGCCAGAGCCGCTGTAGAAACAAAACCAAATATCTCTTTCCAACTTGGACTGATCCGGACTCTTCCTGTGCCATGGCAACAACCTCTGCAGGGTTACACCGATTTAAAGCTCCAGTGGGGAGTTTTTCTTTCTCCCAAAGTTTTGTAAATGAAGGATTAATAAGATTCACATGTTCCCTCATACTGGGAAGTAAAAACGAGAGCTCTTGCTGCCATAGATGGACAGATTTGAATCCGTTCATTTGCCCTGAGCCTGATTGTTTCCTCGCCGGTATCTCGATCTGTCACCACTTCCTCTACAGACTCTGAGGTTATGACTCATAATCATGTTTCTCCTTCATTGTGGCACCGGCAGGAAAAATCCTGTTTACAGCGCGAGCAGATCTCAGTTTTTAAAATTAGCTCGTTGGAGGAAGAGGTCGGGGAATTTTATTTTCCCTCTACATGCCCGACCGAGAGGAAGAGAAACACAAGAAGTGTGATGAAACTGAAAGCTGCTCAGAGAGGAAGAACATTTCTGCTTCTGCATCACCTTCATCACCTGTTTATTCTCATAACTAACAGCTGTAACCATTCACACCTCCTTTACACCTACTTTTTTTCCCCCTCAGAGCCTCGTCTGCTCTCTGGTAAAGAAAGGGAAGAATGAAAAGATAGAGAAAAGAGAGACAAAGGGAAAGGAGTGAAAAGAGGGAGAGGAAAAATTAAAAATAACAAGAAAAGGGTGAAGACAAGAAAAAAGGGGAACATTTTAAAGAAAGAAAGAAAGAAAGAAAGAAAGAAAGAAAGAAAGAAAGAAAGAAAGAAAAAAGAAAAAAGAGAGAAAGACAGAATGAAAGAAAGAAAGAAAGAAAAGTAAGGATACAATGTGAAAGCAAAAGTTCGGAGAAAAGAAAAGATGGAGGAAATGATAAGATGGATGGAAAATAAAAATAAAGTTAAAGGGGAGGGCAGAAAGAGGGAAGAAAAGGGAAGACGAAGGAAAGGAAAGAAAGGCCATAGGAAAGGAAAGGAAAACAAAAAGTAAAGATTAAAGGGAAAAGAAAAGTATAGAAACCGGGTAAGGACAGATTAAAGGAATGAGTAAAGGAAAGAGGGGGAAAGGAAAGATGCAAGGAAAGGAAGGAAGGAAAGAAAACCAGAGAACTAGAGAAACAAATACGGAGGGAAGAATAAAGAACGAAACAGAGAAATGAAGGAAAAAAGTGGAACAAATATGAAAGAACAGAAAGAAATGAAAATGAAGGAATTAAAACAAAAGAAAATAAAAACTAAGAAAGAGAGGGTAACAACTGAGCAGGGAACAAAAAGACATGAAAGGGAGGGATGAAAGGAGAGAAAGAAGAAAGTTTGGTTGAGCCTGGAGTCCAGGATGACTGTCCTTGTGTGAAGAACAAGAAGAAGAAGAAGAAGAAGCTGGTGACGCTGCCGGCTGTGAGGAATCACGGTTTCCCTGTTTTTATTATTATTATTATTATTAGTGTGTTTCCTTATCTCTGCCAACAACAACAACAACACAGAGCAGCACACACACACAAACACATACACAGGACTGGAGGCTGTTGTTTCTGTGACAATATGTGTGCGTGTGTGTGCGTGTGTGTGTGTGTGTGTGTGTGTGTTAAAGCTGCTTCCTTATGAAACAAGTCTTCCTGTTGACAGCTCTGAGTGGAAATGTCCCTTAAACTGAAGTGAAACTATATTCATTGGACCGGAGCATTTCCTGTTCCTCAGTACATATATATACTTACAGATATATTTATATTAATATACGTGTGTGTGTATGTGTGTGTTTGTGTGCGTTACAGTTCTCTCATTAGCATGCGATAGCAGGACAGCTCTGATTCACACCCTCTATTTCTGGTTCGAGCTTTCTCACCTCCTCCTCCTCCTCCTCCTCCTCTGCGTCTGCTGCCGTTTGCCTTATTGAATCTTTTTTTGTCTTTTTCTCACATTACTGGCCTTTTCTGCCTCAGCTTTACCTTCAATTTAATTCTCTATATTTCTGTGAGGTTATTTTTAAGGCGTCCTTTTTTTGAACAAACGAACTTTAGAAACTCCAACTATGGAAACACTGTGTTTTCATTACAGCGGAGCGAACTTTAAAATGTTTGAAAATCCATCAAAACTAAACTCTTGTTCTATGTTTCTTATATGTAGGTATCTGACTTTGTTTTTAATCATTTGTACACTAAATGTTCGTTCGTGGGCTTTGAATTGATTAAAAAACAACCTGAAGATGTCAATTTTGGATCTGATGACACATAATTAACCTTATTTTACTCATTTTTGCATTATATCTGTCAATCTGTCTGTTTTCTTTGGCACAGCTTGACTATAAATATGTTAAATTATTATGTATTTAATACTGAGCGCCCTCACGTCTTGGTTACAGCAGGTTATTTTAAATCTCCCATATCCGTATGTCTTACAGAAGTATATGTGCTGATATTAAAAGGATAGAAAAGTAATAACTTATTCTTGCCACAGAGTCTCTGGGCAGAAAGAGTC